ACCAATATTAATTAGTGTCTATTATGCTCCAGGCATTGTCCAATTACACATTATCTCAAAAAAGTAGTCATTATTATACCAATTTTAGAGATGGAAGAACCAAGGTCCTGAAAGGTCTAGTATCTTGTCCAAGGACTTAGTCAAAAGCTCTTTCCACTATACCAGGGTCTCACCTATATCTGTGAAAAGCAATACGCTATTTCCTCATCACCAACTGGATTAATTTTAAAATAAGATCGTGTGAACTACTTAATGCCTCAAATCATTTTCATTATAAAACAACCTTTTAAACTAAAGATTCTAGTCTACAGGCCATGTAAATTAACATTTAGTAATATATTTTACTGGAAAACGGGAGAGCGTATTTCTTTGGTGCTGCCAACAATCCACCGCCACCTGATTTCGCCCAGTCCCATCATACCTACTTGCTTTATTCTTTTCTCAAATGTGCACCCAGACTTCAAGGTAAGAGGTTCAAGTTCAAGTTCAATTTAACCACAACAGCCCCATTGCCATTTTGCCCCACTACTCTCTATCTTTTCTATCTTAGAGCCTCAAAGAGTTAATGATTCATTCACGATTCAACATTTATTGAGGTGTCAGGCACTACACTGAGTGCTGGGTACAAAAGACCGCCTGACTTTGTTTTTGAGAAGTCTGTTCTCATCACTCTGGGGCGTTCTAAACGGATACTCTCTCCTCCCTTTCCCACCCTTTCTCCCCGTTCGGCCCTGGGAGGGGCTCTTAACTAGCCCTTGGAGGTGGTTAATCTTTCGGTGAACTGGAAGGAGGGTGGGCCCGCGCAGCCTGCCCAGACCCGAAGATCAAAGGCGTGTTCCTCTCAGACGCCTGGAGGAAACCCGGCGGACTCTGAAGAATGCTGTTGGCAACCAGCGAGTTTCCAAGGGCAGAGCCAGCATTTGGAGCGAAGGATGCAAAGCTAAGAAAGGATGTTGGCAGGACAGCTGTGCCCCGCTCGCACCTGGGTTCCCCGCGGTGTGCGGATGTAACCCAGAACCTGCCCTGCGCCTCATCTCTGAGCCAGCGGATCTGCGGCGAGACACCAGCCGGCTGGCCCGGAGATTGCACCCGGAAAGGGACGGAAAGGAGGCTCTTCGGGCTGGGGCTCAGAACTCTTTCCCCGTCTCGCCTCCTTCCAAAAACTCTTCTCCCAGGCGGGGAAGCTTCAGAGGCTGCTTCGCTCCTCTGCCTTTGCGCTCAGCTTCCCGCTGCCCGCGAGCTCCCCAAGCACTCCTGCTGCCCTCGCCCCCAGCCCTGGCTTCCCTGCAACCCGAACTCCAGGCCGACTTCCCGACGTATACAGTGCCGGACCAGAGCAAAGTCAGCCACTCGCAATGGAGTGATGGGGAGATTTTTTCTGGCCTGAGAATGGACAAAGGGACTCTCCTGCAGGGGACGTGATTCCAGGGCGCCCAGATTTCTCTCTCCCTTAGAGGTCGCAACGCAGCCAACAGAAGTCTGGCTTTAATCCACTCAGGACTTAAAAACATCATCTAATGACTGAAATCTGTCTGAGAACACAGGATGAGCGCATCCACGTCCACACACCCGAGTGGAACAAATCTTTTATTTTCTGAAGACAAGTGATTTGAAGTCCAGACTGAATCGCATTTAAGAATTAGGAATCCACTGCGTGCCATCCTGGAGTGAATAGAAAATTAAACTAAATTGGAGTCCAGAATATGCAACTTCTTTAAGAAAAAAATTCCCTCTGAAATATTCTTTCCCACTGCATTAAGTAGTGTTCCTCATAAGAAATCTGAAAACATTGATTGTTAAAATGTGGTCCTGGGACCAGCAGCACTGGCATCACCTGGGGCCCCACTTCAGACTCCTGGACTCAGAATCTCTGGAGGGTGGAGGCGTTTAGGTGATTCTGAAGAACCACTGGCTTAAAAGTCTCCTTGGTCAGTGTTTTCCACTAATCAGTAAACATATAGAGCCAGCGGAGCTGGAGCTCTGTTTATCACTTCTCCTTTTAGAATGAAGTCTCTGTTTGACAGTGGGAAAGCCTGCTAGAAGGATCCTGAGTTGCTTGTAAAGTCATACAAGCAATGAGAGAGAGAGAGAGAGAGAGAGAGAGAGAGAAAGAGAGAGAGAGAGAGAGAGAGAGAGGACTTCCCTGGCTACAGTCCAGATTGGATATCTGTCTGCTGCTGAGAACTTGCAGACTCACTTACTTGAAACACTTCATTCTCCGTTCAGGCATCTGTAAGATGCTTTGGTTGTTCTCCTGGTTCTTTCTAAAAGCACCTTCTAAGATAGTTTTCATAACCTAGAGGTCACAGGCAGGATACTCCCCACCCTTAGCACCCCCCACTCCCAACTTCCAAACTATACTGGCTTGAGGTCAGGGGAGTTCCCCATTCTTTCTGTGAAGCTACTCACCCCCTATTCAAATTGAGACACACCAACTACCTGGGCTGGAGCTGGAGCAGGGTAGGCTGGGAGTTTTACCCTTCTGGGAAGACCAGAGGAGAGACACCTATGGTGGGTGTGGGTGTGCTGATGATCTGGAATGGGAGAAGGGCCCGCTGAGAAGAAGAGATGGTTAGACTGTGAGTGAGTGTTGGAGGTATGTGTGGTGTGGTCACGTTGTCATGTTCCTGGGCTAGTGGCAGCCACCACCCAGTCATTCCCACCTTGATCCTCACTCCATTCAATGGGCAACCATGGGGACCTGAGTGTGCCCAGGTCCCTCCTTGGCTGAGGCTCCTGATGGGACTGGGCAGCCTCATCATCAGACACCAGTGTCAACCTACCTGCAGGTGCCAGGCCCTGACTTTGCTCTCTGGATTTCTAGGAAAAAGAAAGTTCTGGACAAATTTAGAGAACATTGGGGAGAGGTGCAAGGTGAGAGAGAGACAGAAAGAGAGAGAGAAAGAGTCAATAGATACCAAAAAGAGGTATTTTTGTTCATGGAAAAAAAAAAAGATCATTGCCTGGACGCTATAAACATACACCCCTTGGAGCTTCCTGCCTGAGATACTTTCAGTTTGGATCTAGGCACAGATAGTTCACTACCCGCCACTTAGTAAAAGTAACTGACATTTTCATTTAATCTTACCTTTACCAAGGGATTTTACAGATATAATCTCATTTGAGCCCCACTAAGGCTCTGTAAGATGAAAGGGGAAGGTCTGCATATAATGATTATTATCATTCTCATCACCTTTATCCCTGCTTGCAGGGATGGGAAAACTGAGGATCCAGGCTCTTTCAAGAAACAGCTAGATGGATGCAGAACCAGGGTCAAATCTACGTGTTCCCTATTCATAGCCACATGCCTCCTGCTTAAAGCAAAGGCTTCAGATTATTGATAGGCAACTATAGACAGCCATGAAGGATTTTTAAAAAACCCATGTGTAGATTGGCATTGTAAGGGAATGAGCAAGAAAAAGCTATTTCTCTATGGACGGCCTGCCTGGAATCCTCAGAATTTAGCGCATTTTTTTTTTTTTTTTTTGGTAAAAACGTGAGTGGGAGATTGGAAAATTTGCGAAACTTGAAAGACAAACAATTGAATCACACTAGGGACTCTTTGATTTGAACTCTGGATAGGTTGAGGCATGGGCTCTACCCCTCTGGTAGAAAGGACAGAACACATGAATTTGAGGAAGGGGACTCTGGCCAGAGCTTGAAATGTGTTCTTGAAAGTCAAGTTGGGGTGGCGGTGGTGGGGTGATGGAAGGGTATCCTGATATCTTGAGAAGTCCTCCATGTGCAAATAGACAGGCGGAGAAGTCACCGAAGTTCTCAGCCCTTGGAGAATGAGGAATTGCGCTTGGTAATGTGGTCGCCACCCCTTGGTAATGAGGTCACTATAACTGACAGAGAGCACACCTGGCAGAGCAGCTTCTCCAGTCAGGACCAGCCTAGCAGGATCCCTCCTCTATGGCCAGGCAGAGGGCTCCACCCGAGGAGCGAGAAGCGGCCTGTGGGGTTGGTGGAAGGGCGGAGAAGCTCTCGCTCCAGGTACCAAACTAAGCCGAGAAAAAAGGGTAAAAAATCGAAAAGAAAGAGCAAATGAAGCGGAAGTTTCAAGGCTCTCTGCAAGGAATAACAGTATAAATAACCGAAGACGTCTTGTAAACACTGCGGTCATAACCCCGAACATTAAACAGCCCCGGTGGCATCTGGCGCATCGGCTGCCGCGGGCTGCTCTGGGGCAGTGAGAGAGCCGGGTCCCAGGCTCCTCTGCCTTGCTTCTCTGTTTATCTCAACTTAATCTTCCCCTAGGAGCTGTTCCGTAGCCTGGAAAATGTTTAAATTAAAACCCAGTCCGCCGGAAGTCGTGGTGGGAGCTAAACGCGCCGGCTAACCGCAACCAAAAGGCAGGCATGCAGGTTTGTTGTTAGAATTAATTAATGGGTTATTAATAAGAAATGTAGATAATGTATGCTGCAGAACTCTGAAAATCCTGAAACACACCCTAAGGGTTATGGAATTTACATCTTCCATAGCTTCTATTATTTCTTCATTAGTTTGCAGCCATACCCACACCTGGAAGGTGACGAAAGGTGGAGTTTACTTTCTCGACCGTGTCAGCAGTCATACTGTGGAATCCATGAAAGCTAGATTTCCTTTTTCTGGTGCGTTTTTACTTTTGAACTGTGTAACTGTGGATAACTCTAATACTGCCCATTCTTTGTTTACAGTTACATAATTTCTATTGTCCTTAAAAGTAACCGACATATTTCTTTTTTAAGGTTTCAGTAAAAAACGTAATCTGCATCTTCATTATGAAACTCATATGCAATTTTCTTCTATCTCTAGAATTTAGATTGATGTTTAAAAGAATCATTTTCAAGCTTCCCCATAGTTTCCCACTTTTCTATTCCAAATATTTTTAAAAATCACACAAAATGTCAGAGCTTTTAGCAATATAAAGAAAGATTTATTTTCAAAAGTAGCAAAACTTGTTTGAAAAAAATATATATCTTTAAGTGAATTACTTTATAAATGTGACTGTCAAAGTCAGCTATCCTATGATCTACATTTTACAACATATTGTACAAAAGATACATTGATAGGCTCTTATCTATTTATACATTTATAATTACATATTGCACTTGGACCAGCAAGGCTTGCAGAGTCATTCACGGTAGAAGTTAATAAAGTTAAATAGATGGGAATCTTTGCAAGTACAATTGATCTCCTCTGGTTTGGAAACGAATCTCCTCGTCGTTGTAAAGTGTTCTCGCGGGGTGGGACAGAGAGAGGAGCATTGCGAGGGGGAAGCAGAGACAGAGAGCACGGAGGGCAGGGGTCGACTTCCCGGGGCCCGCTCCCCCCGGGAGCGCGCCTTTCCCAGACTCGCACCTCCAAGGTCAGGACGCCGTGGTTCCACATAAGCGGCTCGCGGTCACCACTTCTTTCAGGTCACTCTCGGGTTTCCCGGCCACCAAGAAGGGCCACGTCTGCGGGAAAGAAGAGGGTGGAGGAGGTAAGTAGCCGTGGCGGAGGGGGTGGGGTGGGCTCCTGGCCAGAGATGAAAGGAGTGGGGGCGGTGGGGGCAGGCAGTGCGCTGGAGAGACCGATTATCTCAGCAATGTTCTCCCGGTCCTAGCGCACCCTGCGGCTGCATAAAGCAAAAAGCTGCCTTGGCGCCAAGTCACAGCTCGAGGTGGTGGTGGTGCTGATGGTGGTCTTTTAGAACGAGAGCCAAAAGGGCTCATACTGGGTTCCTTGTGAGACCCAATGCAGGAAGCCCTGGGCAAGCCGAGAGTGGGTGGTGCTGTGGCACTGCCTGGAAGCAGACGCTCTGGCAGCCTGAGCGGGGAAGCCCAGAATGACCTTGTGCCTGCTGGGCACCGAGTTGGGGGCGAAGCTGCCTCCTGGCCTCTCTTCTGAGGCAGTGGTCGGGTTTCAGGGCCCTGTCGCTTTCATCGTCTTTCATCGCCATCTATTTCCCTAGCCCCGACTTTCGTTTCTTCCATCGCAAACACCGACTTTGACTACAACTTCTAAATTAATCACCATCTCTTAAGGGAAAAAAGAAAAAAGCTAAAAAAACTACATTGACTTTTAATTTAAAATCGTCTTCGTGCTGGACTGAGAAAGCATGCTTTCTCTTCCTTTCTCTGGGCTGTTTTATAATAAAGTTTATTTAAGTTTCTTATTTAAAGATGAAGAGAGTAACAATTGTAAATATTCGAGGCAGCACTTTCATTTTAGGTGAAGATATTAAAAAGCTATTTACTCATTGAAAAAAAAAAAAACAACCCAAACTTTCAGTTGGAGGGAAAACTATTTTTCATGGCAAAATGTGGTTTTGCATCTTCTTCTCCCTCAGTTCCAGAAACCAATTCGGTGAGAAGACACTTCAGACCTCTCTCACTACTGCTCTAGTGCTGGCTGATAAGACTTGCCTTTTAAGAGGAAAAATCTCTCATTCTTATCATATACAAACAGAGGTCCTAGTAAGTTGTTGTTATTGTTTTTCTTTAGATCCTAGAAGTTTTAAAATAAAATCAAATAAAAAAATTAAAATGTATTTCTTAAACAGTAAAATGCATTTGAGAAAAAAGTAGACTCAATGATTATCAGTTTTTTGTATTAAAAAAGTTAGACTCAATGGGCATTACTTTTTAAGACAAAAGGTAACTTTTCTTAAATCTTGAATGAGAGTGACCTGTTTTAATATTTATTAAACTCATACTAGTGAGGATTTACTGATTTTGCTGATAATTACTGGAACTTCTAGGATTTAAAAATACTAATCCACTTATAGGAGAAGCACAGAACATTTAAGTGGTTGGGGGCTTACATTGACAATTTAGGGGGGCATAGATGTGTCCTTATATAATGGTCCTAAATATGCTTGTGAAAGAAACGGAGGTGGGTGTTTTTATTTACAAGGAAAGGAAAATCAAAATCCACTCTCAGCTAAAAGAAGAAAAAAGGATTAATAAAATGCCTCCTCGGCGTGAGGTCTTGTCAGTGTTCTCAGTTCCGCAGCAGCCACTCTACCCCAGGGAGGATGGCGATGGAGCGGGCTCGGGGGATCCCTCCTCTGTGCCAGCTCAATACACTTGCAAACCTTTAATTGGGCTGCCACGTCAAACCCTTGCATAAATCACTGGGCTGGTAGGGCAGAGAGCGAGGGTCATGTCTAGACCGCCCGCCTCTGGTCCCTGGAGGCTCTAGGCCCGCGGTGGCCGAGGTGTATAAGTCACCGCCACGCCCGCAACCCCACTCCCAGCCCCGCGCGCACTCGCGCCCACCGCTGGCGGGACTGCGGGCGCGCCTGGACTGCAGGCTTGCCTGGACTGCAGCAGCAGCCCCCAGGGCACTCACCAGATTGACCGGGTGAATGTACCCGTTCTCGTATTTGTCGTTAGCCAGGATCTGCCTCAAGTGGGCGATGTAGCTGGACGCCAGCCTGAGCGTGTCCAGCTTGGAGAGCTTGGTGTCCGGGGGCACCCAGGGCAGGGTGGTCTTGAGTCTGGAGAAGGCCTTGCTCAGCACTCGCATGCGGGCCCGCTCTCGCGCGTTGGCGGCGTTGCGCTGGACCTGCTTCCCCTCCTGGCTGACCCCGCTCAGGGGGCTCTTCTTGGTGGGCGCCTTCCTCCTCTTGCCCAGGCCGCCGCGGCCCTTCTGGGGAGACCCATTCTCACAGTTGGAGCTCTCCTCGGTGCTCTCGTTGGAAGTCACAAATTCCTTGTTCGAGTCCATTTTCAGCCCGTCACATTCCAACATCTCCACCTCTTGAAGGTCCTCCACATCGCTGAGGGAGCCGGTGGACATGTTTGGGGGAGTGGACGAGGGAGAGAGGGAGAGAGAGAGACAGAGAGAGAGAGAGAGAGAGAGAGAGAGAGGCAGAGAGAGAGAGAGACCCTGAAAGCAAGGGGCTTCCCGAGTGTGGCGCAGCCACCTCCTGTTGGGAGCTGGAGTTGGGGTCTGGTTGGGTTTCACAACCCTTTCCCCTTCGCAGAGTTGTGAGAAGGAACCTAGAGGACTTCTGCAGCAGAGGAACCGGCTCTCTGTTTCCCCACTCCCAGAGTCGTGGCCGTAGAGGAGTGTGAGCGAGCGCTGAGGAATTTGGTGGACACTAGGAATTTATCTGGGGAATAGAGGGGCGGATCTTTGCAGCCCAGGGGAGGGGCCTGCCAGGCCCCAGCAAAGCGCTTAGACCCCTTTCACAACCGGAGGGAAACTCATTGCACAGACCCTAATTTGCAACTTGTAATGTAAATCAACTCAACTGCATCATGTACTTACCAGCCACCTCCTCCCAACTGTGGCCGGCCGAGGAGAATCATGTCCTGTCCATCTCTAAAAGGCCTTTCCCTCTTAAGACATCACAGCTGGTTGTTACTGAGAACTTTAGAAAAACGACTAGGTCCTTTGGCTCTTTCTGGGCCTTCCACCTACGAATCTCACAAGCACTCCATTCCCTCTCTCCTCCCAAGAAAACACAAGTTAAAATACAGGGAATATCAACTGCATCCTGCCAACACCTCATAAGACTCCAAGGCTTTACCAAGATCTCCTTCCACCTTCCCCTGGATAAATGAGGACAATTGCTTCCTAGAATCTTTATGGTGATGGAAAAGTAAGTATAAAAAATTTCACCTACACCTGATCATTTTCAAGACATCAAAGGACTGTCTATGTGTACACAAACCTACTTGATTTGCACACTCAAACCCAACACACACAGCTTAGTGGGAGTGGGTAGAGAATGAGATAGGGCAGTATGAGTGTGTGGAAAATATTATGTTAGTTGATCATCTTTTCCTAATAAGTGGAAACTTTCTCCTCTTTTTTTTTTTCTAGAAATGCATTTAATATTGCCTTGAGAGTCTTAGTTGCTCTCAGACATCACCTTGCCTGGCACTTTTTGTGATGCACCATCCCTTTCAATGCTGCTGTTTTTGTCCTCTTCCAGCCTCTTTGGTGCCAGTGTTCCTCACATGAAGCTAACACTACAAAACACAAAGCAAGATTATCCTTTTGAGAAAGGTTCTTTTCCATCTTTAACCCCAGCTCGAGCCATCTTTCCTAGAGAATAACAAAGTCTCCTGGGAAGTAGGTAGAAAATCACAGGGAACCAGAACCTAGGGACCAGATGAAATTGATGCAATGAAACCAGGGAAACTGAAGGTGTAAATCTCTCTTACAATTTCTTTGCCAGGTTTTCTTCCCTTGCAGATAGGCATTGAAGTTGGGCTGGAGCAAAATGTGAGAGTGGTTTCTGAGTGGTTGTCTTAGGGTCTGAAGCCTTCTCCTACATTAAGATATCATATCTCTAATCCTAGGCTCAGCTGGGAATTCACTAACCTCTAACGCTTTGTTTTGCTAGCAGGGTCTTGTTTGCTTTCCCCCTATGCTGTAAACTAAACAGGTTGTCAGCAAATCAGTCTTTATTAATGAATTAGTGACCCCTCTTCCATAATATCTTCGCTGAGGATCCAAAATTTGTTAATCACCAGTGTAAAGATTTATGAGCTCTCTTATTTTCTGTTGTTTGTGCAGGTGGAGATTTAAATGACCACATCCACCCTAAGATTTATTGTGAGAATGATTGATGTTATAAACCAGGAAAGGACTCTTCCCACAGCAGGGATGACAGAAATATCAAGTTGAAGTTGCCTTTGTCTTCACGTACAAATGACCCAGTACTACAACACAGAAAGTATAATAATTTCATCTGAGGTTCAAGACAGCAGTAAGAGAACACCCAGCAGGCCTGTTAAAATTTTCTTTACTAATTCCCCAACTAGTTTCCTGTGATTTGCTCTCCCTTCTCTCAGTCTTGGTAAAACATGAAAGTTAAAGTTATTTTTAGAGTAAAGAGCTCTATGAAAATGGGCATTGGCCAATACTTTGTGAAATGTGTGTGTGTGCGCGTAGCTACTAAGATATCTGCAAAATAACTACAAATAATTAATTTGGGCTCTGGAATGTGATAATTATTATAAAAATCCAAACTATGGCCTTACTACATACCAGGCTATTAAGCTGTGATTTTTCTTGTTGGAGTCATTTTTTTTTTTCTTTTTGGCTCTGGTTCTCTGTTACACCTTAGTTAATGGACTGCTCAGGCTGTCTGGGGGGATAACAATCATAGTAATATGTACCACTGAAAAGATTTCTGTTGTCTGTATATTTTTCAATGTTGGAAACTTAAAAGTACCAATTTCTGGAAGCATGTAAAACCAGCCTCATGTCATAGGCTTGTTTTTATGCTTAGCAATTATTTTTCTTTATAGCCATATAAGAAATAATTGTCGCATGTCCATTTATCTTGCAGTGAGACGTTTAGGCTGAGAAAGGCTAGTGGTCTGATAATACATTTTGGAGTGTTTCTAAAATTCTGTAAAAGATGGCTTCCAGTTTGGGAGTAAGATTTGAAGAATGCTGTTGCTTATGTATCTTGATTTGAAGTCTTGGAGAAAGAATATTCATATGAAAAATACTTTTTTCTTTTAAAATTTTGTGTCTATCCCTGCTAATAAACACTTAGGGACAAATGGGTGGGGCAAATGACTTCTTGTTGGACTCTACTGAGCAAATCAGTTAAGCTGTAACTTAAACTGTGCCAAATTCTCCCAAAATGTAAACTATATTCTGTGAGAAGAGAAGCACTTTGGAGAAGCTGTATTAACCCTTTTGGTACATTGACCATTTCTGTTCCAAAGCATGAAACAGAAAACTAGTGATTTGAAAGTATGAGATCATTTCTAAAAGTTCTTACCTGACTTTTAAGAAACAGTTATGCCCCAGAGGCATCTGGCCAATTTGCTGCTCACTTCTAACAATTTGTTTTGCAAGAAAGACTATCTTTGAAAGATTTTAGTGCTAAGGAAATTTTATCTCCAAAAGCTGTAAAATGAAGATTAGGCATGGAATGTACCCTTGAACTTAAATCCTGGTTTATCAACTGATACATTTACAGGAAGTTCAAATTTGATTCAGTTGCACTTGGATGGAATAATTTGCTTCCTTTTTTATGAGAAGGAAAACATCATAGGCTTCCTTTGAACTGACTTCACATGCCATTACATAATCTTTCTCAGGGGAAAAATATGCCTTTAAATTTAAATTTTAATCCTTTTCTCTTTCTACTCATCATTTGGTCAGGAGAAACATAGGCTGGCAAATCGGCAAAACTGCCCATTCTCTTTTTTCTTCATTTCTAATTAGCACCTCCAGATGTTTTATTGATTTTGTTTGATGGTAACTACCACCACTTCAAACATTTGCCAACTTTCTATGCAAGTTGATGCCTTTTCTTTTTTTCATGGAGTCTGTCTTGCTCTGTCACCCAAGCTGGAGTGCTTTGGCACGATCTAGGCTCACTGCAACCTCCATCTCCCAGGTTCAAGAGATTCTTATGCCTCAGCCTCCCGAGTAGCTAGGATTACAGGTGCCTGCCACTACGCTTGTCTAATTTTTGTGTTTTTAGTAGAGGTGGGGTTTCACCATATTGGCCAGGCTGATTTCACACTCCTGACCTCAGGTGATCTACCCACCTCAGCCTCCCAAAGTGCTGGGATTACAGGCATGAACCACCATGTCCAGCCAGGTGCCTCTTTTTTGATTTTACATAATTATCTCCATACCCTTTGTTGGCTGCTGATTGATTATTGTCTATCTCCGACCTATATGCTTATCAAAATCTGACTTTGTTTCATTAAATTTTAACTTTATTTCATAAAGTGAGCATTACCTCTCTTTGCTCATTCTAAATTACAGTGGTGCTGGCCTGTTATGTTTTGGCAGCCAAAGTGAATATAGCACTAGTGAGCTTGGTGGCTAGCTAAGAAGGTCAATAATGGTGATGCTAGGTGTTGCTGCTACCTTTACCTGGCACCAGCTGGGAGATGGTATATATCCTGGATGGTATAAATCCATTCAGTAATCAGAAGTCTTCCACGTGTTCAGTATACCCTAACGCCCTTTTTTCACATTTAATTCAGTGAATTGTAGATAAGATGCCACAGTGCTAAGATTTAAAGCTGGCAAATAACAACAGTAAAGTCTAGAGAAAGATTCTGCATGGTTCTTTGAATCCAAGAATTAATCTTGCATTTCACATGTTCCATTATACAGCTTTGAAAGCAGCCAAGCCTATGTGCTTGAAAGTCGGAGTTTACCCTAAGGTGTAAGTGGGCCAGAGAAAACTCAGGCAGACAAAGAGAGTTAAAAATTTTGCAAAGCCAGTTTAATGTCCTCCTAAGTTTTCTAATACTAGAATAATTTTATTAGACCCTGTCAGTGTTAGGAAAGAGAGAGAAAAGGACTGAACGACTCCTGAGTCAGGTACCATGCAAGGACCTTTGCCTCCATTCTCTTGTTTCATGTATTTTCTCTCCTTTCTGTTGGCACTACTAAAGAAAGAGCTGCCACATGAAATGAATATTGTATTAGAAATGCATGCCAGAGGCTTTCCCCTGTAATAAAGTTTTAGAAAAACTGGCTTGAGTGATGACTATTCTGTATCTTAAAATAAAGCTTGAAAGCAAAACCTCCCAAGTTTTCCCAAAAAGAATAAATCTTCTAGGTTGTATGGGAGACCCCTTTAGTGCACTTACATGTTACATATAGTTTATTGATGGGCATAAAAAAATACAGGCCAACTTGCTGTCAGCCTCCTTCCTGTATGGAGGCACTGGAATCAAAGGCTCCTTTGGGTGATTATCTCTTTGGGATTATTTCCTTGTGGCAGGTGCTTTCAGCTTTGAGGAACCAAGAGTCGCAGGAAAGTACTGAGTGTGAATCCTGACTTTAGGAAGATGAAATATTTCCAGGCAATGAAGCATTTTAAAATAGAGACACAAAGTAATAGTTTGTCAGAAT